TGTGCTTCACATTGTCAGAAAAGACCTGAGCAAAAGATGTCCCAGCCTTGCCCATGTGTTAAGGCACGAGTCTTCTAACTTCAGTGGATTCAAAGCTCTTCATTTCCACAATACTGCACAAACAGGACTGTTTGTTTCTTATCACAGCTAAGAAATGGTAACTAGAAAACACCAAAATCCTAGTAAAGAAAAGGCACAGGTTGTGACCTTTAATTAATATTAACAACTAATGTTTGATGAGTGAGCAAAGCGTACAAGTTTTCACCTGTGGACAGATGTTTACCACAGATCAGGTTTCTGTTAAGAGAAACTAGTTGTTGAAGTGAGGTTAGATAATTCATGCCAGTCACTGCGTGGCAAGAAGGAACCTCTTGTCCTGGTGAGGATGTTACCTGAGAATGAGCAATATTTAACCTGCATCTTTGTAAAAAATACGTGCATTGCAACCATTGCTACTCTTGTCAGTTTTGACTGATCTACATTAAAATCCCAGGGAAAACAACACAACGGTAGCATTTTAGTTCTCTCCAACAAAAAAACAGAACAAAATTAAATAAAAGAAAACAAAATGAAGCCACTTTTAGCAGGAAAGATAATGCCTAAGAAGTTGTAGAAGAAAAAGTAATATGCTTAAAGATAAGAGCAGATTACTTAAATTCACTTACATTCATATGCAAAGATAACTTTAGTATAAAATCTTAAAAGGCAGAAAGCACAAATCTAAGAATAGCATGGAAAGGGATATCATTTGTAAACAAGGAAGCTAGGATGATCAGCAAAGGACATTATAGTTTCTTTTTTTTTAACAACACCTCCAGTATTCTCATTTGCTGTTTTATTTAATTTTAAAGTATACAGATTAAGGTAATTTTGTATGCCAGTGTCCCAATTAAAGCTAGGTTTCTCTTCAGTTTATACAATACATTAAAGCACAATTGACTTGAATTCAATGACACTGTCATACTTTAAATTGATTATAATGTCTCAAATGTGGTTTTGGAGGCCATTACTCACCATATGTGAATACCAAAAAATAACCTGGTTTTACATTTTTGTGGGTTTACCCAAAACAGTCTCCAGCTGGGTTGCTAGATTAAAGATAATTTTTTTTTTTTTTTAAATTGCATTTAAAAAAGCAAATACAATTTTCAGTCTTATGATATTAACATGTTCCAGCCTATATAACTCCTACTGCCTGCTTTCAAAAAATTCCCTTGTTCTGAAGTCAGTTCAGTGGCTATTAGAAGTAGTCACTGATGTAAATTCCATCTTGTTTATGAAAACATTTTGAACAAAGCATTGATTGTCCAGAGTTTATAAAAAAAGTTAAAACCTATAAAATGTTGGCATCACTACTATTTGGAGCATGAGAATGACATGCATATAAATCATAGTTTATTGGCACAGTCTTTTATAGACAGAAAGAAGGTTTTGCTGAAAATGGGAGTCATGGATGTACTGTAATTCCTCTCTTTTATAGATTTGTTTTTAATGTATTCTGAATCGGGAAAAAGTCTGAAGCAAATTTTAGTCTACAGTAGGAATCAGGGGCACAAGTCGTCTTTTATGATATGGGTTAGATATGGTAGAGGGGAGAATTAATACACAAGTAGGCAGAGTTTGGGGAAATCAGGATGAATGCAAAGGCCTCAGTGTGAAGCTTTGGGAGAGGAGGTCATTTGTGTAGCTGATGTCCAGCCCTGCAATCTCAGCCACATCTGTATTAGCCCTGGGGACAGTAGTCTGTTGCTCCATTTTGTAGGAAAGAGTCATACTATCACCGTTTAGGAGAGGTAGCAGTTTACTGAAGGCTTTCACAGGAGGACTCTTTCTCTTCCTGCCCATCATGAGGTGGGTGAAAGAGGCCTTTTATGCAACAGATTTGCATTTTAACAGAAGGGGATTTTTTTCTGGTGACATTTTGGCAAACCTTGATCCACAGCCCCTCTAGCAAGGACAAGGAGAGCAATCACCTGCCAATACTTGGCCAAGCATGTGAAGCCACCCTTGTGCCTCATACACCACTGCTTTGCTTGATCAACAGCTGGTGGAAAATAAGAAACTTCTCTCCTGGTCCAGGCCCAGATGAGATGTCATCCAAGCCAGGTCTACTTCTCTACATCCACACTGAACAAGACTTGGCAGTGTCATTTGTTGTTTTAAAATGGCATCCCAATGGGAAATAAGTGTTCAGGTCTCACCGCAGGAAGTGATCTAATTCTCTTGGATTTTATGAGTAGCCTGTTCTTAGCAACAGGAAGATTTTGAAGGTGTTGATCACCTAATCACTTTAAGTATCCTTTGTTTAAAACATCTAATTCTAAAAGTTTTACCTCTGTTAGAACCTGTAGGATAGCTGCAGTACCCTAGACTCTGAGTCATCTTCTCTGGATGGTGATAAATCCACTGCACAAACTATACAAGACCATTCAAGTCCTGAGAATGGAGCACCCCATACTTGCATTGACCAGTTCTAGATAACTAAAATGTCACTGAAGTTACATCAGAGTAAAACAAGAGAAACAGCAGTGAACCAGCCCAAGAATTCTCCCAGATAATTCTTTCATTTTTCTTTTCCAGTAGCAAAATTATTGGCAGCCACCAGGGATCAATACTGTAATTACCCTTGAAGTGCTGCACTGAAGAGCAGACGTTCTAGCAATCCAAGCAATATTCCGTTAAGTTGTTCTAGTGGACTGCAGGGATTGTGGGTGGGATTCTCCCAAGTGAAAAATACAGCAATGCCACAAGATTAAGTCCTTACTATTTCTTGGAATTTTAGTAACAGCCATAAAATTCGCTATTGGCACCTGAATCTTTAGAAGCACTAAGCACATTAAGCAATCAAGCCTCAGTCCTGCAGCTCTTCTCGTCATATGATGCTTATTAAAATGCATGTGGTGAAGAGCTTCATGAATGGATTCCAGAATTTTCAAGCAGAAATGCCTAAAATCAGGTTCCTAAACCCACATCTAAATTTTTTAACAAGGTTATGCTCATTTTCCAATTTTCTTGAGCTTCTGAAAATTGCAAATGCTAGAGTGTTTGGAAAAAAAATCAATCAAGCCAATTTATGCAGGTCTTTAATTGGAATTAGGGTCTGCATTAAGACCATTTTCTAGAATTGCCCATAGTAGGCATCAGGACTAGTCCTGTGAAGGCTAAAAGAGGTATGGTCTGGCAGCCCTGATGTGTTCTGAGTTGATCCTTGTTCTCTGGAGCTAAAATACCATAGGAGAGCTGATTAAGATGATGTACATACGGCTAATGAGGATGCCTTCTATTCTATCGAGTTTGGAAACTTGGCCTGCAGACTGACGTGGGATATTCCCACTGGAAGCACACTATTACCATTCATCTTAACAAAGTGGTCCATCACTGATCACATGGCATAAATGCGTGTACTAAAGAATTTCATCTTCAAAAAACTCAAGGAAAGAAAAAAAGTAGGAGACCAGAAAACTATGAAGAAGGGCTAGCAAACTCACAGCCATTTCAACAAGAGCTTGGCAACTTGTGTAAGTTAGAGTGATTGCATACATGCATAAGTCGTGCCATGCACACACAGCATGTAATATCCACATCCAGAAACGTTCTGTTCTAGCCCAAGGATTCTTCATTTAAAGTAGACAATGAATGAGCTGCACAGTTCTGCTTGTGGTTGTCTTCTCTAGTGTTTGAGCATATTTTTAAGCCAGAGGATCTGTTTAGGAGAGCCAAAACTATACATACTAATGGCAGTTGCAGAACTGAGTGTGAGAGAGCTAGACAGCCTGATGGCTTGAAAAAAATGGAGCGTGGAGACAGGAGAAAGACATAGTTATCAGGACAAGGACTTATGCGTGTATTAGAATAGCCTGTGCATCAGGGAATGTGTAATTCAGCCACACTGTCCTCTACTGGCTAAGCCCAGATGGCTGAAAATGATAATGTATTCATGCTGTTTTCATTCTTTGGTGCCCAATTTAAAGCATTTCAACAGAATCATACTTTCAAACAGCCCATCTCCTTCACCTCATCTCTCTCTGCCCTCAATACTTTAAAAAACCATGAAAGCAGAGTCTTTGTGACTATCAAAGCTTCATGATGTTTACTCTCCAGCTCTTGTCGTAGGCAAGGAAGAGTTTTGAGATGGGGAATTTTGTTACCAATTAATGAACTTTTAATTACTGGTTCTGATATTTAAAAAAAAATAAAGCCACTTCAGGAAAAACACCTCAGCTCCCCTCCGTACACCTCTCCTCCCCTCTTTCTGGTCTCCAAGCCCCTTGCTGTGGGCTACACTCAGTCTCTTTGGGGAGGCAAGGGATGGTGCAGGAGATGGGGGTCAGCAGACGGTGGCTGCTTTTCTTTTTCCACTCCTTGTTTCGTACTCAGTTGCCCCAGGGTGGGTTCCTCCACCAGCCGCTGACCCATCAGAGTCGAGCCTCCTCCTCTCTGCCCCAGCTCAGGCAGCTTTTCTTCCTCCAGCCCCTCCTCGAGATCCTATTTTGCTCCAGCATTTCCCCTGCTCTGTCATCATTCCTCTGTCCTCCTGCTCTGGTGTGGTCTTCTTTGTCTTTCTCCTCTTCCTCTAGCGACATTGTCTCTTTTTCTCAGCGTTTACCGCCCTTTCTTAAACATGTTTTCACAGAGGTGCTGGAAACTCCTCCAGTGGGTTCAGTACTGCAGATGGAGCTGGCTGCAACCAGCTGCGTCCAGCACAGGGTGGTCCGTGATCTCCTCCCACAGAGACCACCCCACAGCCACGCTGCTACCAAAACCCTGCCAATTCTGCCCAATACACACCTCAAGCCCCCTTGGTAATCAATAAAAAATCTGGCCAACTTCTAGTTCTACATTTTCTCCAATCTGGGGATTTTTTCCTTCACAAAAGCCTTTACATTTCTGGGTACGAGTATTTCTGGTATCTTTGGAAAGATCAGTCTGATGAGATCTGAGATAAGGAATCTAAATGAAAGCAGGCCTTTCTACAGCCGGCCTGTGCACGTCCCCTGGGCATGCCGCTCCGGAGGGCTTCAGCTTGTAAGCTGTCTGCTCTGTGCTCTGCGTGGCTCCCACAGACACCAACAACCTGTATGCTGCTTTCAGGTTCTGGACGACAGCTGAGACCGGCTGAGCCTCCGGGAGATGCTGATGCTGATGCAGAGGACGAAGATTCTGTGAGTTTTTTTAGAGTTGGATTTTTTTGGGATAGGGGTTTGGCAGTTACTTTGTTAAAATGGGATCTTCAATATTTTGTTTATAGCTGGGTCTTGCTGGTGATTTTTTTCCCCATCAAAAATGTTGCATTTCTGCTTGGGATTCTCCTGCCAGCTCAAAAGCCAGAATGATGCTTCAATATAAAGTGATATGCTCTCTGCCATGATTCACCAGCATAAGTTTAATACCAAGACTTAGCAATGGCTGTTGACTACAGTAACTTTTCTTTAAAGCTTTAGCCAGTTTAAGTTCCCTATTGTTTGACTCCAGAAGGAAGCATGCCATCCTGCTGGGACTCTTCCATGGTTTTCTTGGTTATAGAGGGCAATAAAGTTTGAAGCCACAGGATGCAATTGTTAGGTGTACAAATAAAGCAAGGGAGGGAATTTTTATTGCCTGATTCAATTATTACTAATTGATCTGTCAGTATTTTCAGCCTGTTCAGCCCATAGATGCATACAATTCATAAAGAAAACCAAAATCAGCATACCGTTGTTTTTGTCTCTCAGGAGTCTGTCCCTTGTGTTCTTGAGTAACATCCTTAAATCAGAATTGTATTTGCTCTTGACCTAAGGAAAGAGTTATTGGTTATTCTACATCCACTATTACTCATGAAAGATTTGTGCACAGACAGAGACTATGCTTAAGTAGAAAAACTCTCCTAAAAAAATGGGTCACTGTTTAATGGTGGATGTTCGTTTCCCACCACTCATTTCTTTTCCACAGGTTAATGAAGTGGCAGTAGAAGACATCCGTCCAAGGCCACAAGGATCCTCTCCAGTTTATGAATATTCCGTAGAAGAAGAATATTTAAAGGCAAGACACTGAGTTTTCATGCGGGCATGGCTTTACCAAGTTCATTCAAGAGGCTGTAGCTCCTACAACTAGCCGAGACTCATATGTCATGTAACAGGATGTTGTTGCAGCCATACCGTCTTCCTGTCCCCACCAGAATCAGGGCCATGTTCACTGATGGTTTTATATTGTACGGGACTTGTTGTTGGCCGTATTCTTGTTTCTTGGCAAAAAATGCATTTGACTTCATTCCTTAAAGGATCTGGGGCAGGGAGTGTCAAAAAATCACAATGCTTTTCCTATTAGAATATTCAACTGGCTTGAATTTAATACGTATTTCAAAATTACCTGTACCTCTTGGTTATTCAAAGGTAAAGATTTAATTAGTACAGTCATGTTAAGATAAGTAGGCAACAGTTTGAAATTCATGCTGAAGTCGAATAAATGAAAAAAATGTATGTTCACAAAGATGAAAGCATGAGAAATGTGCTGCATGAGTAACACAGAGAAAAGCTCCCAATGTCTTTATACAATTGGTCTCTGGTGTTCATTTTATGCGAATTTTGGTACAATGCAGGGAGGCCTTGGCATCTAATTTACTACTGGGAATAATATAGTTAAATCATTCACATTGTACATTGCACTTATAGATCCTCACCCCAGTTCTTAGTCTAAACCAGGCATTTTAACTGACTTTTGTTGTACTTTACAAGAGTGCGACTTCTGAACAGTAAATAATTGTGAATTATTTTTCAGCTTCAAGAAGAAAACAAAAAATATTCTACAGACAAATCAAAACAGAGTCATCCACAGGTCAGTCTAAAAGCACTCAGTAGTTTTAGGCATGTGGTTTGCAAAATAGTAAAGTCCATTACAACACACAGACATGGATGGGTGGACAGAGGGAAGGACAAACAGGCAAAGAGTCACTTTAGACTTGTTTTGACCAGGAACTTCACAAATAGCCTATCTGTGGCACAGGCGCGAACACTTACTTGTCCTGTTTGGGGCATCCTTCCATAATTCTTTTTAGCATTCTTTAGCCTCCCCCGGTTTGAGTACAGTACAGCACTAGCTCTTAGTCTGACTTTTCTGGCCCATTGACTCTAATTCAGGTGCTTAACATCTTTGCAGAAAATACAGTCTTTCAGCCCTAAAAGATTCCATATGTTTCATGTTTGAAAATTACAACCTATTTTCCCCGTGGCCCTGATCCAGCATAACCCTAACACATGTGTTTAATTCTAATTTAGAACAGAATTAAACCTACACTGAACAAGTACATTCTCTATGTTAGATAATCTTTATTGAGCTACTGAAAATATACCGGAGGAGATTCAATTTTTTATTATAGAATAATGTAGAACACTTTGATAAAAATGAATAAAAATTGTAAATCCACACCTTTTTCTATATCTAGGAGACAATGGAAGTGACTCTGAAAACAGAAGTGGAAGCTGGTGCTAGTGGTTTTAGTGTGACGGGTGGAGGAAACGAAGGAATATTTATTAAAAAAGTACTTAAGGAATCTCCTGCTTCAAAAATATTTAGTCTGAGAGAAGGTACAGTCTGATTTTCTGGTGTGGTGTTTTGTTTTGTTTTTTTTTTTAATATATCTTAAAATAAGATATTTTAAGGTAAAACAAGATATTATTGTGGATATGGTGGTGTTGGGTTAACGGCTGGACTTGATGATCTTAGAGGTCTTTTCCAACCTTAATGATTCTATGATTCTATGATTCTATGATTCTATAATCAGGTATGTAGCTGTGTGTGCATATATACCTATCTGATCTGTCATCTCTTTAGGTAATAGAAATAGTAGATCCCAAACCAACTAATATTATGTGTGAGCTTAACCTTTCCATATTAATAATTTCAAAGTCAGTTTCTTAAACAATAATGAAATGTGATTTTTTTTTTGGTATACCATAAAAAAAATTACCTAATTTTCACTGGAACAGTGAAAAAGGTACATAGAAAGTAGTGTATACACAACTAAAATGAAAAAAAATCCCAACTCATAACATTCATGAAGAACTTGCCTTTGATTCTGTCACAAAATATTATGCCACAAAACTACAGTAAATAATGATTTAAACAAGAACAAAAGTCCAGAGTCTAAATACTGAAAAAATATAAGAAAAAGCTTTGTTACTGTCAGGGCGGTCAGACACTGGAACAGGTTTTCCAGAGAGGTTGTGGAGTCACCATCCTTGGAAATATTCAAAACCTGACCACACGTAGACCTGAACAACTGGCTGTAGCTGACCCTTCCCTGAGCAGGGCAGTTGGACTAGATGATCTCCAGAGGTCCTTTCCAGCCTTAACTATTCTGTGATTCTATTACGTGAGCGTCATTTTATATTTTAAATAAATGGGACGTAATTTTTTTTTTAAATGAGCATTAATTTAACAGAATTTGAAAAACTGCAAGAAAACACAAACCAATTAAAATGATGTCTGATTCCATTTGCAGGTGATCAGCTTCTAAGTGCTACAATATTTTTCGATAATATCAAATATGAAGATGCACTCAAGATTCTCCAATATTCTGAGCCATACAGAGTCCAATTCAGCCTCAAAAGAAAAATTGCTGGGAAAGAAGAGCTAGAACACATTCACTCTGCAGCCCAGTACAAAAAAGAAAGATTAAGCCAGGTAGTTTTTTGATTAGTTTACAAAGTTTGGATAACACTGTAGTAATGTGCTGTGTGGAAATAGACTGGAAAATATACACTTGTGTCTTCTTCAGACTTAGGCGTGTGTTTAAACTTACTAGCATGACTATTCATGAGAAGAAAAAAACCCCAAACAATATTTGCAGCTTTATAAATATCCTGAGCAAGACTATAGATTCTGGATAAAGCCACAATCTTACATTATGGTAGAAAAACTTTCTTCTCTAGTGAGTCAGCACTTTTTTTGTTGTTAAGTGTCCCCTGATAAAACAGGCTCAGATAAGCTCTGTAGTATTTATATTCAATATTTTCCAAAATGTAAAATACCAGTAAATATTTTTCTCAAAAGCTCATAAATGAAATATTCTTTTAAAAATATGTGTTTAATCTCCATAGACATGATCTGCTCATAAGTCTCCATCGCATTCAAAATTATTTTTCTCTTCGTATACCTATATGTAAACATTATATATATTTGTACAGACATAGAGAGAGATACATATAGAAACCTCTATTTACTGCAATGTTTTGCAAAGAACGTAAACCTTCAGAAATCCACATATTACAGTCACATAATCCATTTGTTTTATGTAATTTCTACCTGAATTATATACACCATTTTCAGGAATTTTTTATATAACAGGTAGATACTGTGAATAAAAAGCACATTTTTCTACATATTTTATAGTACATGTTTTATTTTGTGTTGCGTCTATATTCAGTTTACTTTTAATCTTCTGACTACTATTTGTTCTTTCAGGAAAAAGAACTCAGTGAGAGCATTCCTGAAGAAACACTGCATGTTTCAGGAAAAGCCGTTTCAGAAGACGACAGGGAAACATTAATTGTAAGCCAAAGGGTAGGAAGAAGCAAGAGACCTAAAAAGGATAGATTATCATGGCCAAAATTCCAGTCAATTAAAAATAAAAAGATACTGGGGCACAGAAGATCTCATAGTACATCAGATGCATATGAGCCTGCTATACAGGATATTTCCCCTACAAGCACAGACACAGAGTCTCAATTTCAACAAGAAGTCCATATCAAAGAAAAAAAAGGAAGCCAAAAGAAACTGAAGTTCCCTAGCATTGGATTCAAAATGCACAGATCCAAACCGGAAACACAAGACAAGCAAAAAAAAGAAGTAAAAACTACGCTGTTATCTGAAAGAGAAAAAATACGTAAAGAAGATATCAGCATGGAAAATCCTGAAATACTAACTGTTGAATATACCACATCTCCTGCTTATGAAATTAAAACAGGGGAGGTACATGAAACTTTAACAAAAGACTTAAAAGATATGAAAAATGGCATTCCATCTCATGCAAAAAAATGCCCTGAAGTTGAAATAAGCATTAAAAAAGAAAAAGACAAGGAATCAACATCAAAATTTACTGTACCTGAAGTACCAGCTATAACAACACAGATATCAAAGCCCAGTTTAGAAACACCTGATCTGAAAGAAAGCCCAACTAAACAAACACCACAAGCCTCATCAAAATCCCGAAAAAAGAAACAGAAAGGAACAGCAGATAAAACAGAAGGAGAAAGTGGAATTAACATAGACATGATGGGTCACGCAGCACAAGGATCTATACAGGTAAAAGGTCTAGAAATAGGAACTGCTAAAGCAGAATTACACACAACACCTGACACACTGGAAACAGGAGACAAACAAGCAGAAGATGACACACAACTACTAACAATTCAGAAAACAAAATTTGGGATTTCAATGCCCAAAAGAAAAGAGCCAGAGACTGAAAACACCAAACCGGGAAGTGATGTTCCACATTCAGGAACAGAAACAACAGCTGATATAAGTTCATTTTTTTTATTTGGATGTGAAACCTCATATGCCTGATGCAGAACCAGAAGTATCTACTTGGAAAATACAAATGCCATCATTCAAAATGGCGAAAACACCTAAAGCTGACATGAAAATACCAAGGGAAGAAAGCACAGTTGAATCAGCAGATGCTGTAAAAAAGGCACAGACAGAAGAAGATGGCATGCCCACAAGTGATAAAACCTTGAACATGGACATTGGCATGACGAAAGGAGAAAAGGATGTAGACGGAAAAGAAAGCAAATTCAGACTGCCAAAGTTTAAATTACCTACATTTACATGGTCATCGTCAAAGGATGAGACAGGGCAAACAGAAAGTCAGATAAGTGACAGGGAAGGAAAAGTGATATCCCTAGAAGCAGGTGCAAAACCAGAAATGAGTGTATCAGCAGAAGAAATGAAGATTCCAAGTGTTGAAATTGAAAATGGGATCTTCAAAGGAAAAACAAATGACAAGGATATAAGACAAGTGCCAGAAGTCCAGCTGCCAAGTCTGAAAACTCTAGCTGTAAAAACCTCCTCAACAGAGAATCATTTGGAAGAGAGAGAAGGAGAAATACTGATTACCAAACCTCATATTGAAATACAAAATGGTGAAATCACTATATCAACAAAGAAAACAAAAGAAATCACTCAAACCGTGATGGCCGCAGGGGAGGG